CACCTTCCATTTCTCACCCATTACTCCCAGTTCACTGGCTGGTATATGGAGGGTGACTATGGGCCAATTCAATCTCGTGTCCCCGTCAAGCCACTCAGTCTCCTGAAGCACCTCAGCCTCGCATCTATATATACCCACCCAGCAAGTTATCGCTCTGTTTTCTGCACCTCACACCTCCCCTGTCCTTTCCTCCAACACAGCACTTCCTATTTTCTTATGTCAATCTTGCTTTTCTGGACACTCTTTTCTGACTTTTCTCAGTCCTGTGTCTCAAGTTTATTTCTAAGATGGACTGGTACCAAGAAAGTTATACTGTGTGACTATTATGTAGTTTGTAAAGTTATTTTTGTGGCTGTATATGTGACAACAAAACTAGAGAGGCAACTGTAAATTAGTCTGCCAAAGTGTGTATTTTTTACTTAGTGCTTACATTAGACCTAATTAAACCAGTTTAGTGTGTTTACAACTAAGCTTTGCACAAGGGCAGATGTGTATAAGTAATTTCCTGGATGGCTTCGACCTGCCGAACCTTATTGGGGGAGCTAATCTTTACCAATGTTGCAGTTTTCCAACTGTACTGGTTGTAGGATTTTTCCTTTTCTTGCATTATAATCACCCGGGTTACATCATTTCAGGAAACATCTCATTTAAAGGAGCAAAGCTTTTGTAACCTGTCTCTTGAAAATAAAGCCTTTTTAGCTAGATTAGGTTTTAAGCAGCATTTGCATTAAAGGTTGAAGACCTGACCCAGTGAGTTAGATTTTCACAATTATTGGAATAAAATAAAAACAAATAATCCTACTTTAGCCACAAATATGACTTGGGACAAGTAAAGTATAACCTGTCGCTATAAAAATAAAAAAGTTAGATTTTTTTTAAAGGATTTATTTGAAATGTCTTGGAGGATAATCAATATGCAGTCATCCATCTGTCTATAAATTAAAGTACATTCTCATCCTTTAGTTTTCAAGACTTTATCAACATTACAGTTAATGGGTGACACAACCTGCTTTATGGATTCATATACACCACATTGCCAAAAGTATTTGCTCATCCATCCAATTGATCAGAATCAGGTGTTCCAATCACTTCCATGGTCACAGGTGTATAAAATGAAGCACCTAGGCATGCAGACTGTTTTTACATTTGTGAAAGAATGGGTCGCTCTCGGGAGCTCAGTGAATTCCAGCGTGGAACTGATAGGATGCCACCTATGCAACAAATCCATTCGTGAAATTCCCTCGCTCCTAAATATTCCACAGTCAACTGTCAGCTGTGTTATAAGAAAATGGAAGTGTTTGGGAATGACGGCAACTCAGCCACGTAGTGGTAGGCCACGTAAACTGATTGAGCGGGGTCAGCGGATGCTGAAGCGCATAGTGCGAAGAGGTTGCCAACTTTCTGTAGAGTCAATCACTACAGACCTCCAAACTTCATGTGGCCTTCAGATTAGCTCAAGAACAGTGCACAGAGAGCTTCATGGAATGGGTTTCCATGGTCGTGCAGCTGCATCCAAGCCATACATCATCAAGCGCAATGCAAAGCGTTGGATGCAGTGGTGTAAAGATCACCGCCACTGGACTATAGAGCAGTGGAGGCTCATTCTCTGGAGTGATGAATCACGCTTCTCCATCTGGCAATCTGATAGATGAGTCTGGCTTTGGTGGTTTCCAGGAGAACGGTACTTGTCTGACTGCATTGTGCCAAGTGTAGAGTTTGGTGGAGGGAGGATTATGGTGTGGGGTTGTTTTTCAGGAGCTGGGCTTGGCCCCTTAGTTCCACTGAAAGGAACTCTGACTGCTTCAGCATACCAAGACATTTTTGGACAATTCCATGCTCCCAACTTTGTGGGAACAGTTTGGATCTGGCTCCTTCCTCTTCCAACATGACTGTGCACCAGTGCACAAAGCACGGTCCATAAATACATGGATGGCAGAGTCTGGTGTGGATGAACTTGACTGGCCTGTACAGAGTCCTGACCTCAACCCGATAAAACATCTTTGGGATGAATTAGAGCAGAGACTGAGAGCCAGGCCTTCTCGTCCAACATCAGTATGTGACCTCACAAATGTGCTTCTGGAAGAATGGTCAAAAATCCCCATAAACACACTCCTAAACCTGTGGACAGCCTTCCCAGAAGAGTTGAAGCTGCTCTAGCTGCAAAGGGTGGACCAACGTCATGGATTATGAATGGGATGTCACTTAAGCTCAGATGTGAGTCAAGGCAGGTGAACAAATACTGTTGGCAATGCAGTGTACCTTTGACCTTGTTGGGTTTGTGTTTTTATTTTTCTTTCAAATTGAAAAAATAGCAATTAAGAGAGGAAAACACAAAAGGCAAATCTAGTCGTAAACACCTGCCTTATCGTACTGCTCATAACAGACCCACTGAAGCTTTGAATATCTGATTACAGGTCATTTTAGGTTCTTTCTCAGTAGTAGTCAATTTTATTGTTATCTGGTACAAAAGCAGCTTTTCTGTTTAACAGTAACTACGGTGATATTTTTACTTTAGGTCTCTGCCTCAGCTTTTAAACTTGAGCTTAAATTGTGATTTCTGAAAGCTGAGGAGTAAATTTATTCCATGTCTGTAAACTGGGCCACAACTTTCCCTGTGAAAATATTTAATTCCAGTCTTTCATATGCTCCAGTTTCTCCAACATTATGCTGTTTACTGTAAATGTTACCGTCAGCAGCAGAAAGAAAAATGAGAATTGCTCGAGTACAAACAACTCTTTGTTATACATTTTTGTAAAGCTACAATTTATTGTGTAGACTGTAGGCCATCGCAACAATCCTGGACACATGCCATGAGGAGAGGAAACAAATGTCGTTAGGCAAACATTATATTCTGTAAGATTAGTGATGCTGTGCTTAAACAAAGTGCAGGTTTCCTTAAGACTCTTAGGGCTGAGACCAGAAACTGGTTCTGATGCTGAAACTGTATGACTTTAGGAATACCAGTATATATTAGCTCCTCCCTCAGCTGGCTTGTACGGTGTTTTTTTTGCCATGTGTGTATTTCATGATTTAGGTTTTTCCCAGGAGACCAAAACCATTTAGATCACAAGCGTTATAGACAGAACAGGTTTAATTCAAAGCAGCTCAGTCAGTTAACCTGTAACATCACCACAATGTGCAAAATAAATCACCAGATCTTGTTTCATAATAAAGTTTATTCTATATTACAAATAGTATTTTATTCTTGACTGCAAAATAGGAATGCATTATATTTACATACACAGGTATACAATTAATTATAACAAAGTTAGAGAAGCTCGCCTTAAATCCCCCAGGTTTGTCTCTCTCCATAAGATACTCTTTATCTTTCAAATATGATCTAGTAAAAGTCTTTTCTAGCATGTTGGTATAACACCTGTGATAACACTGAGCTAGGAGGACAGTTTTATTTCCTACACATTGTTAGAAGGTGGAAACTTCATCTGAGCTCCCTACAACATGGTGCAACTACAAGTAGATGACCTCTGGAGGGGAGAGGGATTCATATTGTGCACATCTGTAATGGCAACCGATCGTTTGTGCTACTTAATTTTGGATGTTTAGGTTTTGTGTTTTTGGTAGTGGCTTTCTTAAAACACAAAATGACCATTTATCAGTTGTTTTCTAGAAGCAAATAGGCCTATATATGTATTTACTAAATGAATTGTAGTATACGTTTTGTCAATGTACAGTACAAGTTGCAGACAATAGACAGAAAAACTACTGTAGAGCTGCAGAAAATAACATAATAGCTTTGTAAGAAGCTCTAGTCTTTATTTGGATAAGTCACGTGTGTAGTTCCTTCCAGGTGTGTATGCTTGTTCATAAAATGTGAATGATATGGTTAATTTTTTTAAATCAGTTTGTCATTTCTCCTAGGTACCTTGGTTTGCTATGAAAAAATACATTCCTTTTCTGTCCTGGCTCAGCTGATATGTGCAAAAGTAAATATAATATAGTAGTATTAGTGTCTTGAAATGAAGTTGTTAAAGCAGTACGGACAAATCACGAGTCCAGCCGAACTTTTTGTTTCACCCAAAGTATTTAGGGAGAGGAAGTTCACTGCTTCGTTTAGTATCTCCTTTACTGAAAAGAAAAAAAAACAATATTCTATCAAGTTTTGGGGTCAAGTTTCAAAGTAAGTCTTCATATAATGGTAATGAAAATGTATTTGCCCAACACTTACACTAAATTAAGTACTGGATAAAAACTAATCGGCTGAAATGAGTGCAGTTTGTGTCTAAGACCCGCATCATATAATGTAAGTGCGGCTGAATTCTGAATGCAGCAATGCTCTTATTTCAAGGGGTCAGAAAAGTCTAACTTTAAGGTAAATGGGGGAAAAAAATTTAGGAGAGGACAATAAGTCATTTTCTGACCCAAGAAATTTGAGAAAACTAAAACCAAACAGGACGCGCTGTTATGAAGGACGTGATAGATAATTTAAACTCCCTAAAAGTTTTAGAAGTAGATAAATATCTTTGAGCAAGGCAGTTTCATTTCATATTATCCAAACAGGTCAGCATGCAAAGGTCTATATGTTTTATTCAACATCTACCATTTGACAAAACTGTGGGCATGAACTGCAGCAGGGGCTAAACTTGATAAAGGTTCCACCTTCAACAGAAGTTAGTTTTTCTTACATGAACGATCCACGTTTTCCATCTGGTTTCTTCCAAGCAAAAGAAAGATTAAATAACACATCCACATCATCATTGCAAGGCTTAATTTTCTTGTTTTTTCACTATTTTTTAAAATAAGTTTCTTAAATGGTTTACGTTTTACATGCGCTTAAAAAGCCAATAAAGGACCCAAGGTGGACCTAGGGCGGTCTTCACACATTCACATCACCACATGGGGCACGTTGTCAAGGCAAAAGAAAGGGCAGAGGTCAAAAGGTACAGCGGGCGCCTCGGTCATCTTTCAGTCGCTCTCTCCAGCAAGTTCTTTGTCTGTGATGCTGACTCGTTGCTCTGCTTGATCCGACTTTTTTTTTTTCCTTTTTTCTTTAAGGAGTGGAGAAGGCCGCCCTCTGCAGCCACTGAGGACAACTACACCAATACAGAAAAGAGTGCTTCCACAGTTCTACACTCAAGAGTTGGGGTTTTTGCCGAATGCATTTAGCTACCATCTCCAACGCTTGTGCAAAACAGATATGCTGTTAAGTCAGGAGCCAGACGAAAGTGTGAATGGTGTGCTGAGAGGAGAGACCCAGGACGATGGAAAGAGAAAGGAGCATCATATCACATCGTCCATAGAGCCCCCCCATCTCAACACACTGAGGTAAGAAAACAAAATCACACAGGCTTTTTGAAGTTTCAGTCACAATATATATTTTGTACTAGAAGTTGTTGTCTTGTACATAGTCCTTTTTTGTCAGTTCCTCAGTGGCACTTTATAAATACATTTTGACCATTTTGAAAATTTCAAGCTCCTTTGGTTTTTGGCTGACCAGCTAAGTCCATGTCGTTCAATTTCTCCCACATAGTCTTTAAAATAAGAACATCCTGGGAAAGAGGTGCTACTCCGACAACAGAGCCCCCGTAGGTAGCAGCCTTCTCTGGCTACACTATTTTGAACCATTTATTCCTACTGATAAAACAGTTTCTAGTCCTGTGTCTCAGTCAGCTCTTCCCTTTACCTCCTAAGAGATGGTGTGCACATCTGGGCAGTCAGGATCTTGGGCAGCTGCTGATTTGTGTCAAAGTTCATGTGTGTGCTTCGAAAGACCATCGCAGTAGCGACACAAGATTGGAAGAGACTGCTGTGGTTGTTTGGACAACACTGTCTCCCAGAGTTGGTTGTGTGCTTTTTACAGAGGATTCAGCTTGGGTGGGGCTTTAGCTTAATTTTGCAGTAGCCATATAAGCCAAATGAAAGCACGCTGGGCAGGTAAAAAGTTTGATATGAGCTCTAAAGGCTGGGGATGCTCTGCTTTAGTGTCTGTCATGTTTCAGTAAAGTTGAGGAGCAATATTCCTTTCCTTTCCCCATCAGTCTTTTTCTTAAATACGATTCCAGCTACATTGAAAAAACAAAAACATTCTAGGTTTGCCTGGACTCGTCACACATTTTACAGATATGTATGCTTTTTTTTTGAGGGTACAGTGTAAACTTGGCAAACCATTCTTGCATTATTATTTTTTTCTTCCAGAGGTGTCCATTTGGCTTGCAGTCATCACTTTTCATGTTTCCACTTGCGTCCATATGTTGAACATAGAACTACAATAAACCAAGCTAGAGACGGTTTCATCTCAACTATTCTATTTTTAAAAGTTCAACATATGGACACCCATTGTGGTTTTCAAAGAAGTACCGTCAGTGTAAATTCTTAAAGGCAACATAAAATGTTTTTCCCTTCTTTATTTCCAGCAGGGGGTGTGCGCCAATATGGCTAACTTTCCAGCAATCACCCTATGAAGCCCCCCCCCTGTGCTGAAGCTGAAAGATGTCCCACGTTTCTCTGAGAGACACCGATCTCAGCTGCTCGCCACCTCTCACATATATTCAGGTCAACTAGTTTATGCAGCTGAGTGGATGAGGAAAACAAAAATATCTCTCAGGGAGGAGGAAGCAGAAAAAAGGTTGAGGAAGAAGTCATCTCTAAAAAGCAGAAGGCGGAAGTCATATGACGAAAAAGATGGGGACAGGTCTTCGCTCAGGCACGGCTCGGTTTCTGACGGGGTCTCTTCCCAGTGCACCCTGGGAAGTGCGGTCCTCAGCTCTCCAGACTCATGAAGGCCACCACCTGCTCCAGCTTGAAGGCCAGTCTCTGTTTCCTGGCTGTGTCATCCTGCTCCAGTGCACACACAATCTGTTGGTAAGCACACACACACACATGTACTTTAAAGTTCTGTGTTAGTTTATGATCTAATGAAACTACAAGTGTGATTGTACTGTGTTTACTACCATAACAAAAGGTACATAAATTACCAAATTTGTTTCTATTCTTTTATTAAAGGAGGAAAGAACGCACAAAAGTCATTGAAATAACTTGAAACTGACAAAATAGTTTAATACCAGCTTATGAAAATCATTGATTTATCAGATTTTAATAGCAAATAATGAAACTGGCTTTGACAGAAACGATGATACCCGTAACCTAACATTTTGTCGCACCTTTTGAAGCAATCGAGCAATTTCTGTAACTCTCTGATATTTCACCTTTCTCAGGTTTGAAGGGTTCCTTCTCCATGTTGCATGTTTAAGCACCTTCCACATGTTCAGTAGGATTTAGATCAGGGCTCTGAAGGCCACTGCAGAATAGTCCAATGTTTGTTGAGTCATTTTTGTTTGTGTTTTGGATCATTATCTTGTTGGAGCATCCACAACCTGTTAATGACCAAGCTTTCTGGGAAGCTCACTCACGTCAGAATGATTTTATAGTTGAGATTCCTGCACAGATTTAAGACACCATGTGTCTGATGCAGCCCCAGAACAGAGGAGTCCTCTCAGTGTTTCACTGCAGGGTCTTGATCATCTGTCCTACGAACATTATTCCAGAAACTTTGTGGCTCGTCAGTGTGTATTTGTGTAAATTCCAGTTTGGCTTCCCTCCTCAGTCATCTTCCATGAAGTTTACTTTAGATGAAACAGTGATTGTCTGCACACCTTAACGTCAAATTATTTTTGTTAAGGCCAATTTAATTAATTCCTTTTGTCAGTTTCAAGGTATTTTAGTGACCTTTTTGTTTTTAACTAAATGGATACAATCACATCTGATATTACCAAAGTCATTTGTGTGAGATTGAATAAAAAAAAAAAGTTATCCTCCATAACACAGTATTGTCTCCTTAGCTTATGGGTCTAAAAGGGTTTAGACTGGTTTACTTGAGACACTCTGTAATGGTGTTCAAAAAAACAAAAAAATATTAACATTTTCAAGCAAGTGGAGGGTAATTTCAATAGGAAATAATTGTTTTTAAATTTACAACCAAAGCCTGACCATTAAAGCAAGGTAAGGAAACATTTAGATGTATCAGCCAGTTGTGAAGGGGTTCAGAGCACATCTGTGTAACATATCAGGCAGAGGTTCAGCTAACAGCTGGACAAAGATCAAAATAAATGTTCAGTCATAAAACTACTCCATGATCAAAAAATTAACTGAGTTTACTGTAAACGCTATTGTTTCCACTGAAGATGGTCTGATTAGTAATGATCCAAGTGAAATTCTAAATTTTACTTTGCATGGTTAAGCTTCACACATTCCATTTTGTGATAAATACTGGCAATGGATTACAGTTTGTCTTCCATGTAAATAATGAAAATAATAAGACAGTTTATATTTGTGTTGAGCTGGTTCTGCTCGTCTTCCCTGAGAGAACCTCTGCCTGATATTCCACACCTAAAATACTTTGAGGGATTTCATAAAACAAATTTATTCACAAATATTTACTCTTTTTAGACTGAAAGAAATACTGCATTGCATACCTCCTCAGTGTACTTTCCCACATAAGAGTAAATTTCACTTAGTGAGCTCATAGTGTTAAACTCATTCATGTGCATCCGTGACTGTTCTGCCAGGTAGGCGTTCATGTCCTGGTCACTGATTGCTGGCATCTTACCAATGTCTGAGTAGTACCTGTTAAGACAAGAGAAAGAATGAATTGAGGCAGGAACACTTTAGCAGAGGGGGTAAACTATACCCACTCCCACTACTTAATGACATTTTTTATCTTGCACAGATGCTGCATATGTGATTCATGGTGAAGTGACCAAAATGGAAATGTCGTTGGAGGCAGAGCTGCCTAGGATTTCAGCTTGAAACATTACACAACACCACTGAGGTAAAGGTAATCAGTCACTGTCAGCAACAGCTGTGTTTCCCATATCAGCTATGTTAATTAAAGCTGCTTATTAACATATTAAATTCCTGTAGCAGCAGCTGCTTTAGGACAGGTCTGGTGGCTGGCTAGATAATTCTAGAGGAGCATGTGACAGAAATTGTATTTTCACATAAAATCCCATTAATAAGGTATGCTATAACATGTCTGACAAACTGAGTTATTTTGAATCTTAGTGACATGAAAATATAATATATGTAGTTGAAATGGTTATTTTACCAACCCACATTTTTCTATAGCATGAAACTTAATTATAAATTCTCAAATGGAGTGCCAAATGTTATTGACTGGAGACCTTTAACTCCCACATCAAATACAAATTAAGTGAAGAATAATTATTTATGTTGATTCTTTCAACATAAGGTGAAAGAAAGCAAACTGTATAGCAAATAAGCTCTGTGCTCAGCTCATCAGTGCCACGAGATAATATCACTATACTGTACTGTTATTACCCTGTCTGCCTTGAACAAAATGTGTTATGCACATTATTGTAGTATTGTCTTTAACTGTAACATCTACAGTGATCATTCAGATCTGGTGGGGTAGACTTCAGTCATCTAAAACAACTTCAGTTCTGTAGCAGTTCAAGGATTTTTACATGGACAAAGCAAGTGCAAATAATTGAGGATGACCTAAGTCTGATGCAAAACAGTTTTTGATGGCTGGAAACCACTCAGTCCTCAACGAGAATGTTTGAATTCTGAGAACTGCTCGACAGGACCCTACTTGAAACATCTGAAGAGTTTCTTTAATCCTTGGTGGGAAAATATATTGTAACATTTTAACTCTGTTGAGTTAGTTTCTCTTCTGCCTTTTCTGTCCTCACTCCAACAATATTTATATCCATACCTACATCTTTTTCCTGGCAGCTGCATTTCTAACATCCTTCTACCAATATACCCTCTGGACATGTCCAAACCATCTCAGTCTGGTCTCTAACTTTATCTCCCAGTTGTTCAACCTGTGCTGTACCTCTGATGATCTCATTCCTAAGGAGAACCTCAACATCTTCAGTTCTGTCTCCAGACCATACAACATAGCTGGTCTCACAAATGTCTTGTAAACTTTTCCTTTGACCTTTGCTGACACCTTTTTGCCACAAATCACTCCTGAAACTTTTCTCCATCCTGCCTGGACTTCACTTTTTTACTCTTATTTTCCTGGACAGTCAATCCCAAGTACTTGAAGTTCTGCATCTTTTTAGCCTCACTGTTCCACATGTCCTTATTCACATTCATGTACTCTGTCTTACTATGGCTGACTTTCATTCCTCTTCTTTCAAGTGCATATCTCCACCTCTCTAAGTTTTCTTCCACCTGTTCTCACCACAGGTCAATGTCATCTGCAAACATCATAGTCCACGGGGATTCCTGTCTGACCTCATCTGTTAGTCAGTCCATCACCAGAGCAAACAAGGAGCAGATCCTTGATGCACTTCCACCTCCACCTTGAAGCTATCTGTCACTCCTACAGTACATCTCATCGCTGTACTGCACCAGTTTAACATACTTCTCATGCAACACCACACCTCCTCCCTCACCACGCTCTCATATGCTTTTTCTAAATCCACAATGACACTGAAGTTAGTTCTGAATTTCTACTCTAAAAAAGATAGATTATTCAATTGAACACATCAGAAAATCTGAACTATTACTTTTCCCATATGAAAAGGCATTAAACCCATTAGGTGTTTATGGGCTCATGCTACCTGAAGCTCTCATTAGGCTTCCTAACTATACTGCACCCTTATGGGGAAAGCTCTGTCATTCTGCAGTGATGATCTCTGAAATAGTGCCTTATCTCTGTTTTATTTAGCTCTCACTCTCATCTATTTCTGTATATTCTCTCTCGTTTATCCCCCCCCCCCTTCTATATACAGATCCTTGTAAAAAAATTAGCATATTGTGATAAAGGTCATTATTTTCCATAATGTAATGATAAAAATGAAACTTTCATATATTTCAGATTCAGTGCACACCAACTGAAATATTTCAGGTCTTTAATTGTTTTAATACTGATGATTATGGCATACAGCTCATGAAAACCCAAAATGCCTGTCCCAAAAAATTAGCATATCATGAAAAGGTTCTTTAAACAAGCTATTAACCTAACCATCCACAACATCAAAATTGTGGGTGGGGTAGGTGAAACACCCACACTTGCCCCCACTCTGGGCCCATGAGCAAGGCCCCCAACCCCCACCATGTGCTCCCTAAACAGGTCTCTCTTGAAAATGAGTTCTCGTGGCTCAATGAGTAACCTGGATAAATAAAGGCTATATGAAAAAAATAAATAAATGAAAAATCTGAATCAACGACGTAACTCTAAACACCTGCAAAAGATTCCTGAAGCTTTTAAAAACTCCCAGCCTTGTTCATTACTCAAAACCGCAATCATGGGTAAGACTGCCGACCTGACTGCCATCATTGACACCCTCAAGCAAGAGGGTAAGACACAGAAAGAAATTGCTGAACGAATAGGCTGTTCCCAGAGTGCTGTATCAAGGCACCTCAGTGGGAAGTCTGTGGGAAGGGAAAAGTGTAGCAGAAAACGCTGCACAACGAGAAGAGGTGACCGGACCCTGAGAAGGATTGTGGAGAAGGGCCGATTCCAGACCTTGGGGGACCTGCGGAAGCAGTGGACTGAGTCTGGAGTAGAAACATCCAGAGCCACCGTGCACAGGCAATGGGCTACAGGTGCCACATTCCCCAGGTCGACACTTTTGAACCAGAAACAGCGGCAGAAGCAGCACTGGACTGTTGCTCAGTGGTCCAAAGTACTTTTTTCGGATGAAAGCAAATTTTGCATGTCATTCGGAAATCAAGGTACCAGAGTCTGTCTGGAGGAAGACTGGGGAGAAGGAAATGCCAAAATGCTAGAAGTCCAGTGTGAAGCACCCAAAGTCAGTGATGGTCTGGGGTGCCATGTCATCTGCTGGTGTTGGTCCACTGTGTTTTATCAAGGGGCAGGGTCAATGCAGCTAGCTATCAGGAGATTTTGGAGCACTTCATGCTTCCATCTGCTGAAAAGCTTTATTTTTCAGCACGACCTGGCGCCTGCTCACAGTGCCAAAACCACTGGTAAATGGTTTACTGACCATGGTTTTACTGTGCTCAATTGGCCTGCCAACTCTCCTGACCTGAACCCCATAGAGAACCTGTGGGATATTGTGAAGAGAAAGTTGAGAGACGCAAGACCCAACACTCTGGATGAGCTTAAGGCTGCTATTGAAGCATCCTGGGCCTCCATAACACCTCAGCAGTGCCACAGGATTCCTGGCCAAGTATTGAGTGCATAACTGAACATGATTATTTGAAGGTTGGCGTTTTTTGTATTAAAATCACTTGTCTTTCATTGGTGGGATGAAATATGCTAATTTTTTGGGACAGGCATTTTGGGTTTTCATGAGCTGTATGCCATAATCATCAGTATTAAAACAATTAAAGACCTGAAATATTTCAGTTGGTGTGCAATGAATCTGAAATATATGAAAGTTTCATTTTTATCATTACATTATGGAAAATAATTACCTTTATATCTCATCTCTCTCCGTATCTCTGTCTCTATCCTATCTATTTTTCTCTAGCTATACATCTCTTTATTTCTCCATGTATCTCTATCGCTCTCTCTATATTTCTCTTTCTTGTCTATCTCTCTCACTCTATAGCCACCCCCCCCCCCCCTCTATTTATCTATGGGTAAGGTACTATTTCACTAAACTATCTCATTTCAGTAGATCTTACATTCTTTACTTTTACAATCACAAACTAATTTCCATTTTGTACTCCCTGTAACAAACAAAAAAAAGCTGTTTTTCTCCTCAGTCTCAACCCTTTGACTCTCAGTACAGTCGTTCTCAAGCCCTGGGCACACCCATCCATCCTCACTGTGTTGTAATTTGGATGGGGTTTCACAGCTCATAGATCAGTGCTACAGTCATGCTGTGTTTGTTGGCCTGAAACATTGCTAATGTACGTGTTCTCCCTCTTCATCCATCCATCCAGTGGCTGGTGTACACACTCCCCCATGTGGACAGCTTACCTCTCCACCCAGCTTTTGTAACTGGGGATGTCCTTGGCATAAAGCAGCTTGTTAGATGGTGAGTCTTTCCCAAGGCGGTGTTCTGAGGTGGAACAAGAGTCCATGAAGGTCTGGGCCACCACGGACAAACAGGCATCAGTGATGCTACTCTTGTGGATGTCAAACACAAACTGGGGGTTCTTGATCACATTCACCCAGAAACGCAGAGGTAGGCTGCAGGAAGTTGGAAAAGTGAACAAAATAGATTAAAGGAAAGATACTTACGAGTAAACAACATTTGTACTTGTCATGATGAGTTACCTCCAATCTTCATTTAAACAGCTTTGTTACATTAATTATAATGATTGATATGCACTTGTCTGTAAACTAATTATATAGGATGCTTTTCTTCTTACTGTGAACTTTTAGGGCAACTCGAACATAAAATAAGACTCTAGGAGCTAATGAGGGATAATAATTATTTTTTGTTGTTGTTTAGCTCCATGCCAGTGATGGAATGGTAATCCAGTCATTCAAGCACAGGAACAACGAGTGAAGCAAAACAACACTGTGTCCAGTTAAACTGCTTTGAGATTAAGTCTAAATGCCATTTTCAAATTTGCCACAGTCAGCTAGTCAATAGGCACGGACATATTATTTGCCAGAGGGAAAAGGTATTCATTCACTTTGCAAAGCTCACACTCAGGCCCTTCTGTTGCTGCTGTGTGTGACTTAATTCAATAAAGCCTTTATCTTTAAAAACAGGTGGACGCTGCTTCTCATTTTCTCCAACAGTGTCCAGTGGTCTTCGCTGGGGGCCACACAGCGACACAATTCATATTGCCTTATTTGTGCAAGTGGGACCCATTTCTGTGCCTGTCCAAAATAATAAAAATATACAAGTCTGTTTATTTGCTGGGCTTGTTTCTGCCAAAATAAATAGCTATAGGGCCAGCTTTATCTGCAGTCAAAGGGGCTCAGGTGGTATTGCTTGGATCTCTGCATCTTCACTATTCTCTGGGCTACATGCTTTGAGCTGATATGGCAAAAGTCTATCGGGAAAGACACTGCATTCAGGCCTAGACAAGTATTTTAGCCCGTGGTGCAATAATAACGGATAAGGAGGAAATGACCATAAAAAGTGAAATGCGGTCATTTAAAACGCCACCAATTTCCTTCCCTACAATACATTATTCTAGGACAGCCACCCACAAAGCAATTCAGAAGTACAATCTCACAAAAGAGGATTTGGATGTGTAGGAAAGCTCTATATAACGACATCAAAATTAATCTAAGCAAATAATCTAGTGGGATTAGGTGAAGGGATCAAAGGAATACTAACACCACTGCTGTGCTGTCATGATTGAGCGCAATCTTCTGTTTCAGTGGAACAGTAGTCGCCACGAAAATGATGGTCCTTTTACAATTTTTAAAATCGTGATGAAAATAAACACTTTGTAATGCCTCAACGTTATCCGTTAAAAACAGATACAATGTAAAAACTCAGCAGTTAACAACCTTTGTAGTTTTAGGAATATGATTTTTGCGTGATCTGGACATTTGGTCAGGGATTAGGGTAAATATCAGCTGTTGAGATCAAGGGCATCTATTATCCTGGAGAAATTATATGGGCTGCTGCTTTGGGAGGGGGCAAAATCCTGACCACTGATCGCTAGAACGAGGAGCTAAAAGGGGCATTTGGTAAAATAAACAAATGCTAACAAGCTTTATTTGCTTTACGAAATAGTATTTGGCAAATTTATGCTGATTCTCATCTAATGTTGAGGATTATCGACCAGCACTGAAAAAAGTCTTTGTAATTGTCAAGAATTGACCACAACACACACGTGCTTACGTCTAACTACAACAAGAGCATATTGACTAAAACTAGTCATCCTGTAGATCCTATAAATGTTCACAAATATTTTTAGGGTTGTAACAAATGAACATTGCAAAATGCCAAATTTTTACACGTCTTTATATGTACTGTTATTTAAATAAATTAGGTAGCTATCCTCTCTGTAACTCAGGGTTGACGATATGATTTGAACTATATCAGGATGTTAAAGCCATTGTAGACAGGATCTGGTAGTGTCAGCAGGACTTTCAATAGACGTGTTTTAAAGTACATTTGACAAGCTGTACATGAGTATTTATGCAAAGTTTTGCAGAGTAATTAAAATTATTTATTCGATCCACACTTTGGTAACAGATGCAAATACAGGAGCTGCCATTAATCTAAAGGACACCATCTGAAGATGTTTGAAGAGCCAGTGACTCAGGGATGTACAGACTGACTACACTGCTGAACATACTACATGTGTACTACATGTTAAACTAAAGTACACACACATGACATTAACTCAAAGGACAGTGCTATAGCTACAAATTGACTGTAGTAAAAAAATGAGAGATAATGTCTGAGGGCCTATTCTGATCAAGTTTAAAGTCAGTCTACTTGAACAATTTGCGCGGAATAAAGAGAAATTTAAAGTGGATGATGTAGTTCTAACAAAGTAAACATTAGGCCACAACACATTCACACATCCAAGTGTGTAAGTTAGAACTTGTATTTTGGTATAGATTATGTTGATACTTTAAGAAGCCAACAGCAGGGAGTGGGGTGAGCTAAGGGCTGTATCAGAGTACTTGGATCTGAAACCCTAAGTAGGAGATGGGGGCTCTCACTGCAGTGCTGTTTAATGGTGTGTATAATGACAGTGGCTCAGTTGGTAGAGCTGTTGCCTCTCAGTGAGAAGGTCACCAGATCAAATCCCGGCTGGGGGCCTTTCTGGTTGGAGTTTGCTCTGTCCGTGCATGTGTGGGTTTTCTCCGGGTACTCCGGTTTCCTCCCACAGACCAAACAAACAAACAAACAAACAAAAAACATGCATGTTAGGCTAATGGGTAACTAAATTGTCCCTAGGTGTGGGTGGGAGTGTGAATTGTTGTTTGTTTCTATGTGACCCTGTGATGGATTTTCGACCTGTCCAGTATGTTCCCCGCCTCTCGCAGAGAGGCACCAGTGACCCCCGCGACCCAAAAAGGAAGAAGCGGGTAAAGATAATGGATGGATGGATAATGACAATCGGAACGGGGGGCTTAATGAAACATGGCCTCAGCTTGGAAGGAACAGGGACGTTATTGTTTTCTACCGTTGGTCTAAAAGCATTTTTGTCACAACTCATTTTTCAGTCTTCAGAATAAACTTTTGCACATGCACACACTGCAAGAAGGGCAAAAGTGCAGTCAGCTGCACATCTCACACAGAAAGGATATCTGTGGTATGATAAATTGCTCTCCATTTATGGGGCAATAGTGAAAGCCCATTAAAGTTCTGATGCAACACAGGCCCATTGTGCTGTCAGAAAACACTTAACACACTGCAAATTGACCAATAATGCAGACAAGAAACAAATATTTCTCGTTTAGCTTCTCATTCTTTTCTCCATCTCTATTTGTCCCTTGATAGGCATACATTTTTCCTTCCATCACTGTGGCCCTCCTGAGCCTCTTGCTGAGTGATGCATGCTGGGATCTTGGCAGAGGCTGTGGGGTTAATGAGTTTTAGTGTGTATTTAACTGAATCAGCATTCACTTCCTCTTTATTCTTTCATTTCTCTTTTCTCCCCATTCTAGTTCATTGATGGTTGTTTAAATATGACCAGTTTTATTAGGTGGGCTCACAGAGGTCAACATGGGTTAAGTTAATAAGCAGATTCATGCAAAGGTGCACTCATGCACCTGGAAATGCACATTTGTCACCATGGAGATCCCCTTGGTGACGGATGATATTTTGGTTCATTTACCCATGAAAGTAGATGGAAAGACTTGGAAGCTAACTGGATTAGCCCCTTGTGGTTTTCTTTAACAGATTACACCCTCTGTGGCCAGTGACTATTAGAGAGGAAAGAGGCACGTGGTAAAACTTGGCACGGATGAGGACAAATTATATGAAATGTGCCAAAATGCCTAAAAGCAGTCACCCGGGGCTACAAATAAGAAACTGGTTTTTGTTTACAAGTACATTCAGATCTGCAGGACTTCAACTCACCAGTTGCTCTTCCATGTGTGCCGCACATGTGGGTCATGGATGTTGTGTTTGTCGGCCTGCTCGTCCAGGAAGTCGAACATGTATTTGATGGCCAGAGGCAGGGCGCTGCCTCTATGGGCCGTGCTGAAGATGGTTTCAAACAGATCATCGACAAACTTCTGTAACGTTCCCTGGAGCAGAAAGACCAAAAGTAAAAACGTTCAGTCGTTGGCACATCTACGTTTTCATCAGGTTATATCTATAAAGGATTAGTATTGATCACAACACTGAGTAAGATTGTCACTGTAATACATTTTCAGACACTCCACTGATTAATGTTGCTCTAAACTTGTGAGATTATGAGTTGTGCAGTAAATTTCATTTAATCTCTTCACTCTGATGTTTGTGCCCGACAAACATCTCACAGCCCTGGCCCACAAATATGCTTACAGCTTTGATGGAGGAAATTGTTATTTCACAGCTGACTTTTAATAATATCTGGGAACAGGAGGTGCATCTCCTAAGCCTCTTTGTGCTGCCGGATTAGCTCCCACTGCACCATTGACCCTAATTTGATTTAATGTTGGCGACTTTAAGGAGGAGGAGACAAGAGAAGAGAGACAGAGTGAAAAAATCTAATCCTCTTGTAAAGAACAAGTTGATAGGATGCACGGGAGGAAGTAGGAGCGAGGGATGGAAATGAAACGACAGGTTTCCTATCAGAAAACGAGGTCATCGAGTGTGGCAGATGAGGTGCGTACAGGCACTGGCAAATAAAAATCCAATTTGGGTGGAGCGGATAACTGAATCACAGAGGAGAGGTAGAAGAGAATCCTGTTAGTCCAACAATCAGGAATTTTATTCTAATCTGGCCTGAATTACAGACTCCTTATTTTTGAAGAACATGGGATGTCATATTTTTATTAAGTCTGCCTGTTCCAGATTGACATTCTGCACTGGCTGCCAAGGAAACACTGTGTGTGCATTCATATGCAGAGCCTGTGACATTTTACGTCATCCATCTCAAGGGGTGCACCAATATCAACACTGTCATCATCACAGGGTTCTCTTGTTCCCCGGTGGAGCTGCACACAACCAACACAACCCCCCTGCAACCATCCACCCTGTCATTAGACTGCACTCTAAACACAATGTGTCATCTGGTTGTTTTGGTGCCGTCTGCCTCGACAATGAAATGCAAGGAAAGCAAACAATCACATTGTTGGTGGGAAGTAGACAAACTCTTGTGTAGAATGAGACAATGCAAGTCCTCCCTGTGCCACTTCACTAAAACAGATGCTGTTCCCTCACTCCAAGCCTCCGTGATGGAGCTAATATGAGACACAAGCGGTGTTGCCAGGGAGAGGTATTTATTGGCAAGGTGGAAGCCAAATGCAGTCAATTACATTGCCCGTCTGCCTAATCATTTCTCACCAAGAGAGATGGCCGGCCAAGATAAACTGGTTATTTCACAAAAACAATCCATCTTAAAAGGAGATGTGCTGTCAACAGAACTCTGGAGCGGGACAAACAGCTGGGAAATAAAGCGACTCGGAGGCTGTGAGGCGACACGTGCATGTGCGAGGGACTATACAATATGTGTCATGGTGACAGCTGCTACATTCTCTCTGGCTTCTTTTTATTCTGCAATCAGCAGTTTGTTTATTAGTTTGTCTCATATGCTGCTGGTTATATCTGGTGTCACAGTCACTGTTACACCTCCTGTACCGTTAATTGATTACCCAGTTCTGCCAACACAACTGTCCAGTAGTTATACTCAATAAGGCAGTAATGTAACTGTACACAGCTACAATATGTGACAACACAGCTGACCTGAAGATAAATAAAATATGAGTGAATCAATCACTCGGCATGTGCAGAATCACTTTAACCGGCTTTAAACATTTTGTGTCATCATGAGTGTTTTATTGAGGCCGTTTGAATAAATGTAATCATATGTTGTACCTGATATGCTTTGGAAATGTTTATTAGTCCTCGGAGATTAAAATAAACACCTCCTATCATGTTAAATTGATTGGGAACCAGTTTTTTTTTTTAAACAAACCACAATATATGTCCTATATTCTGAACTGTGAATGTTTGAATCATGTATGTTTGGTTTTCATTTAAATCTATAAAAGGTATTCAGAATCAGAGAAATGGGCTCATTGTATTTCTGCATCAGTTTCATGAGCTCTCAAACAGATTTGAATCTGTACTTTATTTCAAGATTTTAAGGTCGGCTACACCTGCAAACACACTCGGTGCTAATTGATGTAGCTGCCTGTTCAACACAATGCATTCCAGATTTAATATTTTATCTCACGCTGCTATTTATGACAAACACAAAGAAGTCAACTTTATACTAAGAAAAAAACTAATTAGTTCTGACTGAAACATTTTCATTGTGCAGCTGCATTCTTTTACACTTCACCTGATGATTTTTGTCTGGATGGAAAAAAGGGACACAATGCTTTAGGAGTAGATTCTCAATTTACTTCCAACTGTTGGATCAAAGACACATTTTCATCTAAAACAAATTAACTACTGTTTTCTTTAAACGCTGAGGCTATTCAGACTCATTTATCAACATTTCTATTTGTCATCGTTTGTTGTTACCCTCTCTAGCTCCGTGGCACTTTTCCTCTTTATCCTTTTAGATATGCTGCTGCATCATTGCAACAGTAATGAAAAAAGAAAATAAACAGAAATTTCTGTTTTTGCTTCTCCACCTGAGGGGATAGAGGAATATATTTGAATAATCTTTTCCACTGAGATGATTCATCTGAAGTAATTATGAATATTTAAATACACTGAGGATTTTTCTGAGTTTTTAGAACAAGAGATGAAGGTTGCAGTGACCTTTAACCTGCTGAACTGGCTCAAGCCATATAAGAGGTGAAGATAATATGAGAACATTTTTCTGCTTTAAATCCGATTTCATATTAAAAACTGTCCGGGTAATGATTATTCCTAAATGTAAGATCTTCATCAGAGATGGCTCACCTTAGTAGCCAGAAGTCGTGTCAAGTAGATCTCAGAGACCATCTTGCTGCCACGATCACCTTCCTTCTGGTCTCCGTGCTCATGGTTCTTTACCAAGTGCCAGACCTTCACCCCGCTCTCCAGATCCGGAGTGATCATGGGGGTGCGGGAACGCATGCTGTCTGGGCTTCCAGTGTACTTGATCATGTTCTCTGTGGAAAAACAAGATGATTTAATTCATTTCATGCTGAAACACGTGATAAAAATCATAAAGTTGAAGAGCCACAGTGTTTGCTTCCTGGTTCTGGCAATCCACCAACATCCAGACTGCACAAACTAACCGAAGACGCAAGCGTAACCTGCATGTCAGCGTTAAAACAGCTCTTTGGCCTAAGGCTTCTGTTTGACTCATCTGGCAGATTGGCTATGAAACTTCCAGAAAGTCTGCATGGTTAATTTTTCATAGCTTCTTCTCCAACTGACGAGATATTCTATTGCCGGCTGACAGAAAATCGAACAGGTGTCAGACTAGATGAAATATGTATGGCCCACCCAGTGGCCAGAGCAGCAATGACATTTCCAAACACATGGCTCAATGAATGTTTACACAGTGTGAAAAAAATTGATCAGTGGGTGCGGTCGGAGGGGTGTGTGATTTTTACACTGACAGAAATCAATCTGTCCAGAGAGACGAGCAACCAGGCTGTACGGAGGAACATAAAAACAAAAAGTCATGTATATCAGCAGCTCACATTTGATCACAATCTGATAATCTGAAGATCATCGTCTCATTTAGCGGCAGCTTCATTACCAGAACATAATGAATCAATAATTTAAGATGATTTAGGGAAGTCAGGGACACACAAGAGCAGAGGGCAACTTTTTTTTTTTTTTTTTCAAAGGGCCACGTCAAGACATTTGAAGCAATCAAAGGTCCGCATAGAGAATTGGAAAATACATTTTCTTTGTGACAGATAATCTAGAAGAGCTTTTTCTTATTGTAGCATAGTTAGCAGGCTTTATAAAACATGTCTTTTCAATATCCTTTAGGAATGAGACATTCTGTAAACTGGCTCTTGTGACATTATATTATACATGTTAGCAGAAATATATAAAACAAACTTATATATTTGTGTTTCTAAGTCTTTACGGTTCAATCTAGTTCCTGAAACACAATGACTAATGTTTTTTAAAAAGTTTTGCATCAAATATTTAATTTAAATTGACTTAAGTCTCATTGATAAATTGCTAGTATTTTGTTTTCAGCAATCTTTATTTAAAAAGTTTTTTTTTTTTTTTAACTAAGAATATTGGGGGCCTGGTGGAGATTGCCCAAAGACCACTTTTGGCCCTCGGGCCTTAAGTTGCCCACATCTGCACAAGAGAAATAAGAAGTCTTCTAATGATCGTTTCACACTTTTTGTCCATTTTTCTTTCTGGTTTCCAACAGATTTGAACTCAACACAGTTGTTTCTTTTACAATGACTCATGTTGTGCTTATCTGACACTTTTATCATAACTTTCTCCAGCTCCACCTTTCACCCAGCTTCTTTGCAGGTACTCTGAATTTACCTCAACTGGGTTTGCTGTGGCTTCTCAGACTGAAGAAGTCCTTTGGATGAAGGACAGAATGTTTCAACGAATGAAGAAACCGTTCAGAGGACCTGGCTCAACTTTGTTGGATTTTTTACCTGGATTATCGAGCGTGAACTTTGATGTTCGTCTTGGTTGTTATTACTTCGCCATTACCCACGAAGAGTTCAGTTGTGAAGTGTTGAAGTGCATCACATTTAGATGTGAAAGCAGTCCCACAAACACAGATATTAGTGGCTTCTTCCCTGGTGTTGCAACACTCATGGTCTACACGGTGGGTGTCATTTGGTGCTCACGAGGTGAGCCCATACGGAGATGCTATATAATGCTAATAATGTGGCACCACATTCCAAGTGTCTCAAGTGTTTGTGACCAGTGAGGTAGCTCTTTGATCATAGTCTAACTTGATGGTTTTGCAGGTTCAAGGAGACGTTGAGCAGACGGGCAGGCGGAGAAGACACTGGCACAGAACGATGAGAGGACACTTTAAATCTCAAGAGGCCTGAACAACCAGGATAAGGGTCTATTTGGTCTCTTTATAATGTAGAAACCCTTTCAACTACTCTAATTTGTGCCTTGTTTTTCTTTATCTGATGCTGTAGACACGCAGAGGCCTCGATCAGGCTTCCACTCCTGCAAGATCCACATTATTCCTATTCTTTTTTTTCCTTCCTTTCTTTCTTATTATTGCATTTTAGAAACCCAATTTACTGCCATGTCTGTCCAGCTGATGGATCATTTCTAAAATTTATTTCTGCTCATAACAATAATTTTCACTCAAAGTGTGCATGACCTTGAGGCCAGATGACCAAAGCCAGTGAAAGTGGAAAAAAACATTTTCTTAAAAGTCATACTGGTTCAGTTCAGTGTTCACAAGCTTAGGTTCTTGATTGGAGGCTGATTTTAACAAGACTCAACATTTAGCCACCAATAGACAACCAGTAGTCCCTCGTTTATCGGGTGATCCGTACCCTGAAGACCCGTGATAAGTGAAAAACCGTGAAGTAGGAATAGTAGTACAAGTAGGAAGTAGTAGTTTATTTTCTAAAAGAGCACATAATGTCTTGATTTCAGCTCCCTGCCTCCTCTGCTCTTTACTACCTGCAAGCGCTTTGGCCACGCCCACTTCTCTGTTCTGCACGGTGAACAGCTGATCAGCTACAGGAGGAATCTTTTTCTGCAGCTCTGGGCTGCATAAATGTGCAGCAGGTGCCAAATAATTTAAAATAATTGATTTGAAATCAAAACTCCTTGCCGATCATCCATCAATCAGCCAATTGTGTGTCATGTCCAATCTTATTTTGAAAAACCGACATAGAGCCAGTCCACAATAAACGAACCGCGGAGTAGCGAGGGACTACTGTACTGCTCTCATGCACACCATATTTGGGTTTTTTTTTCCTACCAGTCTTGACCTGCTGATGCTCACATTATTTTGTATTGAATAGATTTTGTGTTTCACGTGTGATGGAGGGACCGGATCAGTAATTTGTGTTTTTTATAATCTGTAAAGAAAGACTAAACTTTACCCATGATATTAAGCAGAAAACTCCACTGCAATGGTTTAAAAATACAAACATGCTGCTTCTAACTTTGTGCCTATTTTCTCTTACAGACACCACTACACGAGTCCCTCGATACTTCGCTGTTCATTTATCGCAGACTTGCTCTATCTCGGTTTTTCAAAATAAAATTGGACATGACACACAATAGGCTGATTGATGGATGAGTCGCACAATCGTCATGGAATTTTTATTTTAAATAAATTATTTAAAATTATTTAGCACCTTCTGCACCGTTGTGCAGCCCATACTGCAGAATAAACTTCCTGCTGCAGCTGATCAGCTGCTCAGCGTACAGAGCGGACAAGTGGGCGTGGCCAAGAGCAGAGGAGGCAGGGAGCTGAAATCATGACATGTGATCATCATGTGCTCTTTTACAACATTTAGAGTTTAGAAACATTGTTTCGAATATTGCAAGAGAGTGGGAAGGGTTTAAAACGCCTTAATATGTATGTATATATATATATGTATATATATATATATACTAAGATAAACTACTACTTACTACTTGTACTACTATTCCTACTTCTCAGTTTTTCACTTATAGCGGGTCTTCAGGGTACAGGTCCCCTGCAATAAACTTGTGACTACTGTACATTTAAAGCTGAGCAGAAACACGACTTCTCACCATATTTGCTCGCAGAGGTTCTGGACACCGTGGAGTTATTTACTGAGTTATAAGCTGTCACTTGCTTGGGAACCAGGGCCATCACTGCATTATCAGGTGCCTGAAAACAGAAAAACATACATATAAAATGACTCCTCATGACACATGCTGTTTATTTTGTGGTTTTCATTTCAGTGGGATTCTAACACAGAAAACATGTCATTGTGTTGCTGTAATTTTCTATATTCCCTTTCATCTTTTCTGGTTGAGTAAACAGAGAACGTGTTATTACCTACATGCTCTCTGCTCAGCCCACACATGCCTCCAGTGAATGGCAGGAGGAGTGAAAGTTTAACAGACCAGAGCAGAGGCCTGTTCGAGAGGGGACGTCCCACCGTCTCTATTCAATAATACCTTCTCTCTGGGGCTGTGTGTTCATTAAAACTGGAAGTAACAAGCAGCGTGTGGATTTATGCTTTTGCGTAAATAGCTGTGTACAAAAGAATGTACGATGAAGTCAATCTTGCACCTGTCAGTCTCCTGTCAGCCCAAATGTATTGAATTAATACATCTGGGATGAAGACTTTTAAACACACACACACACACACACACCACTTTTTTCTTTCTCTCTCATATTCAGACTATGCTTCAGGGTTAATTGAAGTGATCTTTATCAATATGTGGGTGGATGGGACCACTGGGTCTTAGTTTGCATATATGTGTGCATACAAGAGCTGAGGCTTTATTAAAATGGTGTCATTATTTCACCCCCACCCCCATCTCTCAATCTGTTCCTTATGCATAATGTTTATATCATTGGAAGCAGGAAGCCCAGAGGACAGAACTTGTTATTCCTTTGTGGGGATCCCAACAACTCCCCAAAACCCTCGAGTGTTCACCTCGATAACTGCTCTTATACGTTGAATCGATATAAAATGAGCTGTAGGACATAATGACATGTGAAAGAGAGGAAGGGCATTAGGAAATAGCATTTGGAAAATAAAGACAAGTTTTTAATTTTAAAGCAAACAGCAGCTGATGGCTGAGTGCGTCTGAGTTTCATTTGTTTACATATTTTTGGTCCATCAAGGTTAAATCGCCCTTTCTTTCCCCAGCCTGAAAAAAAATATGAATTAACTTTGGTCTTCATTATCTTATCTCGGATTCAAATCAGCTCCCTAATCCATTCCACCCACGACTCGTAGTCCCAGCCTGTTGACACTCGCTGCTGACATTTAATTTAGGCACCACGCAAATTGCACTTGGAGGAGGCAGTCGCTCCTCGCGTAGCTGCTTGAATTAATAATACCAGGTCAGGATTTTTGTGTTTGCCTGAAAGGATAGTTGGTCCTCAAGTGACACAAAACGCCTGCAGAGGTGTGTTTTCTCTCTGCAAAATGCATTAACGACTTTATTAAGTAAACTATCTTGATAGTTTGTGTGTTTTTCTGCAGACTTCTATTTAGGCAGTTCTTTTTGGTCTCAAGTTTACAAGTCTGACTCTGAAGTGTGACTCTACCAAGATCAGAATCACAAAGGTGACATTTAGACATCAGTTTGAATCTCACGCTTTATGAAAAGTGTCTTTTTCCTCATGTACGTGGTTTAATTTATTTTTGAACAGCTTTTGTTGTAGTTGTCTAAAAGTCGTGTTCTTGTCTGAGAACTCCCCAAGTATTTAACTGAAAAATGTATTCCGTAGTCTTCAAGAAGAACCCCTGAAAGATAAGTGAAGGAGCATTCCCCATACAATACAGACAGGGCTACATGATGATAAAGCTCAGTATAAAATATCAAAAAATATATTAACTTTTGTATAAGAAACTAATAGAAGTTGTCAATTACAAACCTTAGTTTTGTTGGACGTTGTTTGTAATAAAGTTTTTTTTTTTTTCACGCTACTTAAAAAGCACTTATTACAAAAAAAACCCTGTACCTGAATAAATATTTTGTTAATGAAGTTGGGTATAATTGGTGTGCAATCGAGATAAAACTGTTTGAATTTTTTTTTAATACAATCAATATCGTACCTGATAGTGAGCCAGCATGTTCAGTCTCTTCCAGTCACCTTCAATCTTTGTGGTGATGTCTTCGTCTTGCAGGATCATGCGCTGTCCTCGACCCTGACGCCACTCTGCAAGTAAAATGAGAATACTAACAATTATCTTCACTAACCACATTCCCACTGATGGTTTTCACTTTGTGTTCTTGTTTGTTTTGTCATTTGAGAAAATATAGTTTCAATCCCCTCTCTGTCTATCAAGACGTCTCCAAGTCATGCCACAATATTTGGTGTACTAGCATACTTTTGGGAGAAGAAAAAGTAGATTTTGGTAGTTGTCCTAATGAAAGAGTTTTACATTTGGGAATAAGTTGCGCTTTTCAACCAAAACAAAATCTGAGACAGTAGAAATTAAATCCTAAAGGGGATGTTTGCAGTGCCAATAAATGATTGCAAGTTAATAAATGTTCTTTTTCAAATTTCATGTTTCTTGTTTAAACATTAATCTGCAAAGGACAAAAACAAAAATCTGTGATGAAAATATCTAATTTATATTTATTGATCTGCTTCCGAGTACATTGCAATGTTTTTACATTGTACAATATTATTTTTCTGTGCACTTCTCATTTCCTTATTTGACTGTCACTGTGAAACTGAACATTATGTTAAGTGTGATACTGGTCGTTCTGTGACAGTCTATAAGGGTTGGAGCAATCTGTGTGGGTTGGAGCAATCTGTGTGGGTTGGAG